AATGTTTGTGAATGTTCAGCCTTGCCAACTCCTGAATTAAAAACCAGACACTTAGTCATGTCTTCTTCTTGTCCTTCGATGAGCTATTTGCATCATCTTGCTTAATGCTGTACTAAATTATTATAATCACACAGTCTCACAGCCCATGTCAAAAAGCACAAAGATGTCAAAATGACTCTATAAACATAACCTTAAATGTTCTCATTGTAAAAATATTTGTCTTTACTTTTCTAACTAGTAAACAACAAACTGCTCAAGATACACAAACACTTTGCTTCTAAACGACCTCAGAACAGAGTAAAGAGGAACTGGCGTGTGAGTCAGTGTGGACGTGTTCAGAAGTGACCTACTTCCAGAAAATGGTTGCCTGTGAACTTGATACGAATCATCCACTCAAGAAAAGATGCATCAGGTATTATGTATCCTGCCAAATAATACAATTTATTAACACAGAGTGTTTGACATTTATCATCTTTTGAGAGGGTTAAACCAAACTGTTTTTATTTTTTTTTATATACAGTGGGTACGGAAAGTATTCAGACCCCCTTAAATTTTTCACTCTTTGTTATATTGCAGCCATTTGCTAAAATCATTTAAGTTAATTTTTTTTTCCTCATTAATGTACACACAGCACCCCATATTGACAGAAAAACACAGAATTGTTGACATCTTTGCAGATTTATTAAAAAAGAAAAACAGAAATATCACATGGTCCTAAGTATTCAGACCCCTTGCTCAGTATTTAGTAGAAGCACCCTTTTGATCTAATACAGCCATGAGTCTTTTTGATGCAACAAGTTTTTCACACACTCAAGAAAAGATGCATCAGGTATTATGTATCCTGCCAAATAATACAATTTATTAACAGAGTGTTTGACATTTATCATCTTTTGAGAGGGTTAAACCAAACTGTTTTTATTTTTTTTAATATATTTACTTAATATTTCAGACTTTATTGTGTGTGAAATAGAGTCTACATTGACCATGGGAAACTCACACCTGACATTATTGTATTTTTTTTCTGGTTTACAACCACTGCTAATATGTTTGAAGAAACAAAATCAAGTGTGTTATAATTTGTTTATACTGTCTGTGTAGATGAGATGTGTTTGTTTGCACAGATAAGTGTCACATTCCACCACTTTGCCAATCACACCTACCTGTCTTCAGGACAGCGGTGGAGTCACTGCAGGCTTTGCTAGATGTTTTGTATTATGCCTTGATGAAATAACACTGCTGAACTCCTCTTGAATGTCTGAGATCACCTTAAAAGGAAAGTAGGTTACAACGTTTGTTGAGAACATCTTATCCAGCAACATTCTTCAAAATATATTTTAAGAAACTATAAACTGTGAATTATTGGAAACAGAGGAAGTCCTGGATTGCAGCAAGCTATTTCATAACATCTGTCTGTAAGGATTTAGGATGGTGACGAGAGAGAAAACAGTTCCAGGAATTGAAGTATAAACTCATCCTCAACCAGTCCCACCTCAAGGAGAACTAATTCCTCTTTTTTTCTTTTCATATGGTCAACCATGCAACCATGCTAAACACTAGCTCTAAATGCATTGTTTTAATGCTGAAAACTCACTACAGTTCACACAGAATGTGTTTTTGCACCGAAAAACTCGAGAGGCGACTGGAATGGGTAAAAAAAACCTGCTAGGTCTCGAGACGCGTTTTTTTTTTTTTTGTTACATGAGATTCAAGCAAAACAAAGATGTCCGTCTAATGCATGTTTACAAAACAATAACAACAACAACAATAATAATAATAATAATAATAATAAATGGAAAAGGATGGTGTTATGCACAAGTTCTATGTTGACGGAGCCTCATACATGTGGCCAGGTTGTAAAACTAGGCGTTGTTTCTGTATCGTTTCAAAAATGTTCGTGGCTCCTTTAAGAGAGTGTACTTTGGATGCGTGCGCGCGGTTAGGAGAAGCCATTTTCATGGTGCAACAGAGCTCGACGCTGTAGTGCTCGCATCTATATAATTTACCATGTAGTAAAAATAATTTTTCTTGGTAAATATCATTCTAATGTATCTAATATGCACAAATATGTTACGAAGCGGAGTCTAGACAAACATTTGGTGTGTAAATTTCATTAGATGCAAGTGGACGTGAGTGAATCTCGTGGTTAATGGTAACGGATTTGGGTATGCAAGTTCCATGATATATCTTGTAAATGTTTACATTGTGTTAATTAGATAAGCTACGTATCCCTGTTAATGATTTTGTTGAAAACCTGTTACGTGACTATAGTAACTTGTGATTTGATTTGTATGTCCGATAATTCATGGTTAATCTGTGTAACAAAGTTAAAATGGCTTTGTTAATGTGCTTTCAATTTCTTTTGTGCCTTAGCCACTGCCGTATTCCAATTTGTTTCTACCTTATTTTAGTTTTTGTTTTTTTGTTTTCCTCTTGGTGATTAGTTTAAACCCAGTGTGTTTCAGTGTATTTCACTGTGGTTCAGTGCACGTTTTGTTACAGATTTCATTCTGTATCTCCTAGAGTTTATTGAATTTGACGTCTATCTACTGTGTCTAAAGACTAATTTTGTTGTATATGATTCAGTATGAAATGCCCAGAGGCATCCTAGGTGTACAGTATATGACTTTCTTCTTTCAGACGAATCCAGTCAAGAGTTATATTAAAAATTGTCCTGGCTATTCCAAGCTCTATCATTGCAGTCAGCGGGTGTTGCAGTGCTTCAGTCCAAAAGAAGTGAAATAAAAAGCGCCCATCCATTAAAAAAAAGTGTTACTGTGCACTGTGTCAGATTCTTTTGGTGTGTAACACCAAAGATTCTTTTGTGATTCTTTTGTAACACTTTTTGGGTGAGGTTCCAAACCCCATTTGAATTAGACATTGTTTTTTTTGTTTTTTTATCTTTTGTTAGGGCTGCACGATAAATCGAAAAGAAATCGAATTCACGATTAGACAGAAGCTGCGATTATCATGCGTATCTTTCAGTGAAGCATGGTTCTGTGATCAGTAGTAAATCTCCATCCGAAGACCAGAGGGCGCTCTTGCACAGAAAGTCCAAATACGCCCCCGCAGAAGAAACCCAGGAAATCCCTATAACAGTTGCTGAATAAACTGAAGATTTAAATGCTTTTGTTGAACGTGACTAATAAACACACGACTACGGCAATATATGGTTTATCTGAGTTCTTATTATAATTTTCATTATAATAAAGTATATGTATAGTACAATGCTATTCGACATAGCCTTTATCACTGCATAGAATACTATGAAATAGTTGCGTGCCTTATTCTGTGTAAGAAGCCACATCATCTCACAGAAAGATTTATTTCAAACACACGACTGACATTATGAAGTGAGTTTGGAGTGAAAACGTTATTAAATGTGGTATTTTCACGGGCTTTCAGATGGAGAAGCATTTACCACACAGAGCTGTAGTTCACTGAGAAACTACGCAAACAGCTGTCATTATCGCGAACGATTTCTTTGATTTCATAAGCGTACGATTAGCTATATCGTGTGTAAATTATTTTATTTGTTTCATTTTTTTTTTTTGCGTAGAATGTCAAAGAACTACGGCTCTGTGTAGTAAATGCTGCTCCATCTGAAAGAAGGTGATTGAGATTTACTACTAATCACAGAACCGGCTTTACTGACAAGATGTGCATGACAATCGCATTCGATTAATCGTGCAGCCCTATCTTTCGTTACATTAAACTTTGCTCCCATCGACCGCTGTCATTTAATCAACACAGCAGTCAGAATAAACCCCAAGAAAAACCTCTTGTTTTCGGTGTGTTCTTGGTAGTTCACACGGTTACATATAGCTGCAACTTTTTTTCTTACACTACTGATTCAACTTTTCCATTGAGAGGACTGGAAAAAATGTACCAATATAAACAACCAGAATTTACTCTAACTATTGCTTTGTCTGTTACCAAACCAAAAATAGTTCCAACCAAAGCCACCATTGCCACACAAGCAACAAAAAGTGGTGTTTTTTAGCTGAACGATTCAGTGTTCTTGAACAAATCGGTTAAGTAAATGATACAATGAACCATCTAAACCATTACATTTTTGAATGAATTGGTTGGTTGAATGAATGATTCAAATGGCTCGCTCACAAAGATTTTCACTTGTCTTCATCTACTGGCATAATCTATAAAGCCAATCCCCACAAGATTGTCATCCCTCTGGAATATGAATGAATAAATAAATATAAACATACAAAATATATGTAGCTCTTTTTATTTATTCCTCTGTGTAGGATGTTACAGGACTGAACTAATGTCACAAAGTCTGGATTTATTCTGCCTGGCTGTTCCTGCTCCAGAATTCACTGTGTGATACAAATAAGTAAAATAATTGTGATAATCCTAAACATTTGATTACAATCATTAAAGTCCTTGTAAATTGTAAAACAGTGTCAGACACTTTAAGTCAACTTTAAAAAAGAATATCTGAGTCACTTATCAAAATACATATTCATTTTACAAATATTATGCTTTCAATAAAACTGATAAACAATATCAGCCATTGCCTTGACAAAAGCTGTGTGCAAAGAACACTGTGACTGGTGTTATTTCCTGTAAGCAACAGTATCATATACATTTAAAATAATACACTTCATGTGCCAAAAACATTCAGTTTTTTTTTTTAAATGGTCAAAAATAGTTCGGTAGGCAATTGTTCTTTTTTCCTTCATTTGTCCTTTGAAACCCAGATGCAATGACATCTGCTCCTCTAACTTCATTCATCTGTAGAAACTCGAGCACACTTAGGTCTCTAGCAATCTGCTTCACTTGTGTTTGTCCTTCTGATCACTCCTGATTCCCCATCTCTGACGTTGTCACTGCATGAGGATATTAGGCTCAATGTTAAATAGTAGGTCATCATTACCACGCCGCACTTCCAGAAGGAGGGGCATGTCTTCCTGAATCGCCTCCTCTGTGTAGGATGTTACAGGACTGAACTAATGTCACAAAGTCTGGATTTATTCTGCCTGGCTGTTCCTGCTCCAGAATTCACTGTGTGGTACAAATAAGTAAAATAATTGTGATAATCCTAAACATTTGATTACAATCATTAAAGTCCTTGTAAATTGTAAAACTGTCAGACACTTTAAGTCAACTTTAAAAAAGAATATCTGAGTCACTTATCAAAATACATATTCATTTTACAAATATTATGCTTTCAATAAAACTGATAAACAATATCAGCCATTGCCTTGACAAAAGCTGTGTGCAAAGAACACTGTGACTGGTGTTATTTCCTGTAAGCAACAGTATCATATACATTTAAAATAATACACTTCATGTGCCAAAAACATTCAGTTTTTTTTTTTAAATGGTCAAAAATAGTTCGGTAGGCAATTGTTCTTTTTTCCTTCATTTGTCCTTTGAAACCCAGATGCAATGACATCTGCTCCTCTAACTTCATTCATCTGTAGAAACTCGAGCACACTTAGGTCTCTAGCAATCTGCTTCACTTGTGTTTGTCCTTCTGATCACTCCTGATTCCCCATCTCTGACGTTGTCACTGCATGAGGATATTAGGCTCAATGTTAAATAGTAGGTCATCATTACCACGCCGCACTTCCAGAAGGAGGGGCATGTCTTCCTGAATCGCCTCCTGTAGTTCTCCAGTGTTGACCAAAGGATGGCCGTTTAGCTTCACTATAATATCACCTGTTTCGAGCCCACCTCTGTGAAAATGAACCGATGAAAGGAGAATGACATGTGATTTGTTTTGGGTAAATCAGTGCATGATGTTTTCTAAACATAACAGTGTGATTAAAGTTAAATCTTAAAAAAGCATTTTAAAGAGAATCTGAGATGGACATAAGTTATTTTTTGGCTGAGACATACTTCTGAGCTGGGGAGTCTGGGACAACTTCATGGACAAGAATTCCACTGCCGATATCTGGAAAGTCTGGTTTATGCCATTTTAATCCCTGGACTAGGCTGAGGAAAAGAAGAAAAATAGAAAACCTTAGATCTGAGGAAAAGAAAGCAGACACAGATGGCTCCTTTTAAGAAAGGTTACTTATTGAACCTTGATATTTAAGCAATGCGATCATCTTATGTTGGCTTTATTTGATTAAATTTGACACTATTAAATGAGAAAAAAAGCATTGATGACGAAGCATTGATGATTGATTGACATAACATACTTCTCTGTTAAAGTGACCATTTTGATTCCAATAAATCTTTTCTTTGGGACTTTTACATCTGGAAGAGAAATGATTCGTTTTAAAAATGTGAACAATTTCATGGTGCATTCAAGTTATATCAGAAAGATCGTATTTACGAGTTGAATGCACATAAACACTACAGCCAATACTACTTTTTTAAACCTCGAGATTTCAGGTTTGGGGCATGTCAGTAAGAAAACATGGTGAACGTAATGGATGGAGTGCCTGTATTGATGGTAAATTTGTTGAAATTAATAAAAGTATCATTTTAAAGCTGAATGTATAAAATATGATAACACTGTACAATTATAAAATAATAAATAACGATTCAGTTAACAGAAGTTTTATAAATTGAATGACAAGGGAAAACACACCTGATGCGCATTTTTTTGTCATCTTTTATAGTAGAGTTAAAAAAAAAATCTTGCTCTATTTTTTGTAGTATATAGGTACATCAGCATCTCGCTTCAACCAAAGTGATTTGAATGCATCTGACAACTCATAAATACAAACTTCCCAGGAGGACTTGAACACACACAAACAATAGCATTGAACAAATAACAGCCTTTTTATTCGTTAACTCCAAAGCAAAGAGTTCTATTGACTTGCAGTTAGCTAACAGCAGATTACTGGGACAAATTCATGCAAAGCAATTTTATATTAGATTTGATAAACCGTTATCAACCCAGTTTAGCGTTCTGGCCTAAACATCTACAATGTATCTTCTTTAGTTCCTCTCACAGTAATTTAACTGCATGACGGACCAGTTAAATATTGATTCTGTTGTAGCTTGCATGTTTGATGTCATCAGGCGGGCAAGATGACTAGCCGCTAGCTAGCAAAGTGAAATTTGCTAGCAATTACCTCACCTGAGGCAGTCTTCATAGCTTGAGACTGTGTGAAGTTTGTCCTGACTACCCTTTGTCTGACTGAAATCAAAGTAAAGGACACCAAGGATGTAATAGACAGGGCTGTTTCACACATAATGTATTTGTGTTTTGTAGCCATTTTGTTTCAATTGGCAGACCATTATTTTGAGGTGGCACTCACAAAAATGTAATCTCAGGTTAATATGATCGAATGAAAATGAACATCCATTGACCGTTCAGGTTTTTGCGTGCTAACATTTATGTTGATGAATTAATTTTGGAATTGCCAACAAAAAATTAAACTTTTGCAATTAGTGCATTACCTCTGGGCTTGATGCTTACCTTTCTGCTCTTTATCGTTAGATTCATCAAGGAATTTATTGATTCGGTCTGATGGAATTGCAAAAGAGATCCCCGCAGTCACTTTTAGTGTGTTTATTCCGATCACCTCACCGTCCTAACATGACAGAAATATCATGTAAAAAGCTAGCACTATTAAATGTATCTAACCCGATTTAAAACTCACATTCAAAATTTACACTCACCAGATTAACAAGCGGACCTCCTGAGTTTCCATACTTCCCATTGTTGATGAATAAAAAGGGAAAGAGAGAATCAAATTCAGCCAAAACAATCTTTTAAACAGTTGTTGTAGCCTGCAAACAGCATTCTCTTTTGTCTTACATTGGTGATCGCGTCAGTTTGGATGTAGTCCATGTCAGAGTCACGGATGCCGAGCTCTTTTCCATCTCTCTGTGTTGTGCTGACGATGCCTGTTGTGACTGTGTTCTGAAGCGCAAATGGACTGCCAATGGCAACCACAAACTCACCAGGCCTCAGGTCAGCAGACTGACCCAGTGATAACACTGGCAATTTTTTCTGCAAGAAAAATAACACTAACAATTGATGCAAATTAAATCAACTGAAATATGATTCAGTCGATCTGTGCACCACTAATGGATTTTTTTCTTCCGTGACACTTCCTACAGGTTGCAGTTTGTGCCAATAGGTGGCGATAAGCCAATAAATCTTTGTGAGTCTTTGAATCTGTCATTCAAAAGATTCATTAAGCATTGAAAAAAACAAGTAACTGGCTATATTTGGTGTAACATATTTATATGTCATATCTTAATGTTTTTATACAGCAGAAATAGTAAGAGCATTATGATGCTTTTCTGAACTAAGCCACTGTCTTAATGAGTGAGTCTTTGAATCATTCACTACTTATTATTTGTTCAAAAACAAAAAATCCCAGCCAGCAATGTGACTGACATTCAATGTTTAATGTTTTCACATTAACTAAATTTCAACAAGATCTTTTGAAAAAAGATGCTAAAACGGCGTCAAAATATCGTTGGTTTGATTTGCAAAATCTAATCAAAATTTAACAGCGATTCCATGACGTTGATTCACTTGAGAATAAACATCGAAATCCCAACTGGGATGGGGATATGAACAACTTTTGCTCAAGGAATATTGCTTAATTGATAACACTGTCATGTTTTTCCTGTCCTTGTGTCCTTTTTTTTGTGGACTTTTAGTTTATAATTTTTTTCTTGGCTCTTGTTCCTTTCCAATTGTCATTAGTCTCATTGTTTTCCTGTTGTGTCTAGTTAATCTGGTTTGTCCTTTGTATATTAGCCTTTGGCTACATCCGAAATAGCACTCTCTTGAGTAAGTACTTTGCATAAGTAATAATTTAGCAATCGCTAAAAAAAGTATGTCTTATATAGTATATAGTATCTGGACATACTACATTCGCCATGTTTTCATTATCACATGACCTTCTAGCATCAGTTACATCCCTTCACTCCCATTCATAAATCCTCTTGTGGCCTCATGGGACAGTAAAATGTCCATCATATGCACACTTCAGAATCTCGCCAGAAATAGTAGGTCCTCCGGGTAATTTTTGCCTACTCTGTTATGTATACAATGAATTCAGACATACTTCTTTTATCAAATTCTGTTTTTCACCCTACTAGGGATGTATGCACTTTTTGGATGCAGCCCTTGTTTCTTGGATTCCTGGCTTTCTTGTGTTTTTGTTTCATTCTAATAAACTGCTTGCATAAGATCTTATGCCACTCCGTCACTGACTTGGCCAACATGACACTACCTGAGCAAACTGAACTTATTCTATTACTTGCAAAAACATATGGGCAGTCTGTCCAAAAGATCAGATATGAAAAACAAATTAGAATTGGGTGCAGTGTGGAAAGGTCTAAGGCTGGAGAGCAAAAGATGAGGAAATGATATGAGCTGCTATAAACAGAAACAAAATATCTGCAAGCAATCCAGACTCTGACGTGGGAACATTCCTCAATTTTTGTTTTGAAAGCGGTCTTTACTCTGAATGTTTTTTTTTTCTTTGATACTCTAAATCAAAAATGGGCTATGGAATGGGCTATGGAATATTGAATACTTAACATAAATTTAAGAGTCAAAGGTGTAGCCATTTTTGGATGATTTGTGCTGAGGTTTTATACTCTGGAAGTTTATGAAAGAAAAAACTGGACTATTGACTAATAGGTTTTGTGTCGGGAAAATCCACTGTAAAGAAATAAAGTGACACCAAGAAATGTTGAAGATTAAAACTTTTCAGCCTCAAGGCTTTGTTCCACATTTACAGTACAATAAAAATAAAGGACACCAGGGAAACACTATAACATGTTAAAAAATGAAATAATGGTCCTGTTATTTTTAACTGTTTTAAACACATAAAGTCATTAATGCCTGTGAAATGATTCTTACCTTTGGGTTAATTTTGATAGTGGCAATATCAGACTTCTTGTCAATGTCTCTGATGGAGGCATCGTATGTCTGGCCATCGTGTAGCTGCACTCGTAGATGCTGGCGGCCTGTGACTGGTGCGCTGCTAGCAACCACATGAGCATTGGTCACAATCAGACCGGATTGTGTCATTATAAATCCAGAACCGCTTGATAGAGGTACATGACGGCCATACAGCGGATGGCTGGACACAAACATTGAAAACAGCTGGTTATTGCATGACTAGGTGAGCATTTCTTTTCTAGTAGTACTTGAAAGAAAAAAAATCAACTGTTGCCAGATTATAATAATGTAGATTGCAACATTATTAGATTATATAAAAACACCTTTCCTTGTGAATCTTCAATCAGGTGCAAAAATTAATATATACAAATATATTCAGCTCTATAGCTATCGCCAGTGCAAACATTACCAAATCAACATCATGAAGACCAGAATGGTATTTACTTGAGGAAGAGCTCGACATGTACCACAGCAGGGGCAATCTTCTCCACCACATCAGCGATGAAGTTAAACTTGTATCTTGGGCTGTTCAGATGTGCAGGACCTATACTAGCAGAAAGACCCATTCACGTCAATGATAGTACATGATAAACCAGATATGAAGACTACTAGAATGAGACTGGCATTACTCCAGTCTTCAGTGTCACATGATCCTTCAGAAATCATTCTAATACGCTAATATTTTTAGTCAAATAAATGCGGTCTTAATTAATTATCCAGAGTTCTTTAACTGTAACTATCAGTGGCCTCCACTGTACTTAGAACTAAATGTTCTGGTAGGTTCATGTGCTAGTGACACTCCCATTGAGCATATAACAAAGAACAGATATAAGAAATCCATTGTAATAATTTGGATCTCTGCTCATCTGTGACTAGGTGTGTCACATTTATTACTTCCCTCAGATTCTGTGGGCTGGACACAGATGGTATTCTGCCTAGGTTGTTTCCTCTTTTCCAAAGCTTTAGTACAAAAGGGCTAACAGCTGCATTTAGATGGTGTTTATGTTCTCTGACTCTGAATGAAACTGCAGTTGGCACTGGAATAAGAGGAACTAATAGTCTACATCTCACTAAACATCCAAAGTCACACTGATGTTTCTGTCTTGTATGCAAATCTTAGCACTTTCTCCAGGGTTTAAGTAATTGTCTTAGTGGAGACTGTGAAATTCCAAGAAGTCTCAATCAGACAAAATCAGACATCACACAAGAAGTCAAAACTAGTGGAGATATAACAACTGTCCCACAGCTGACTGGCTCAGAACTATTGTGACTTCATGCTTCATTCATAAAGAAACACAACAGTGGTTTTGGACTGACAATTATCGGCATGGATGTAGCATCAGGCAAAAGTTAAAATATTTGCAGGTGTATTTGTCACCCACTGTTGTCATTTAATCTCAACATGTCATTTAATCTCAACAACCACCAAGAGAAAAACCCTTATGTAAGCCAACAGTTTGACTGGAGTCTTAAACATATTTGCTTTTAGCAAACTACTGCAACTTTATGACAGGAAATGCTGTCAAATACTGTCATTTGTGAAATTTTCTGATAGTGAACATAGGATTGGCTACTACTTTCAGTTACCAGTCCAAATCCACTGTGCGGCACCAACTCTACCCATAAGGAAATGTAATGAAATACTTATGCCATTTATGTTGCCTATTAGGTGATATATAGTTTTCACATACATGCATTCTCTGGGCAGATAAAGCCATAATATATATAAAAATCCCCATAGTAAAATGTGTATATGTACATAAGTTAATGATATAGGCTATGTGATGATTTTAATATGGTATTACAGAATGTAACAACCATATATACCAACAATGTAGGCCTATATTTTATTTATATATGAAACCTTATTAAAACAACATATATACAAACAACTGTTTATTTAGGCTTTAAAAATAAATGTTTTAAATGCATTGCTATGTTTTATACTTCGCCTACAGTACTATCTACTTGTATTGACGGGTATTAGCATGAATATACATGTACATGACATACATATCTAAAAGTATATTGCACAGACACATAAAATAAGCAGTTGAAGTGATCAATGACTGACCTGAGCTTGATGGTGCACATGGACCCTTGTGAGTTTGGGTTATTTCGGGGAGCCCTCGCTGTTGCGCTTCAAGCGCGGCTACCCTCATCTTGCACACATTCCCGTAGGTCTTTCCGTCGCTGCCACACACTCTGTGAGTTTTCTTACACTGGCAAACACCTTTGGAAAGTCGCTTACCGCCTGGAAATCTACATTCTAGCCCGTCGCCACACGGAGCATCATCCTTCCGCCCGCACTGCGCGCCCTCGCCCAGGCTGCACACCAGACAGCAGCTGCAGTGGTCGGGCACATAACCGCTCGGACAGCTCGGGCTCGGACATTTACTCACATCACACTTGGATGGACATTTCGTCTTCGGCTCAGCTACGGCGAGGTCGTGCGTAAAGAGCACTGTAGCTGCAAACAGAATTACCTGCATTCCGTCGGTTTCCGAATACAGTTCAGGTGTCTATTTGTTCAATGAACTACGACTTTAATTCTCTGTGAGGTTTTTCCATAGAGTGCATCACGTAAGTCTCGTATACTCTTCCTTGTTGTCTTATGTCATTTTAAAATACAGTGCTGGATAAATCTCCCTGATTTCTCGTACTCAGACACGCACTTAGGCTACTCCCTCCACCCCGCTGTTTTTGAATTCTAAATATACTCACACAGTGCAAGGTAGGAGAGAAGAGCAGAACACACAGTCATTAGGCTACTCAAGTACAGATCAGACACCTCAGATTAGAACAGTATTCGCATAGCCTATATAAATTTTGTGAAGTGGATGTAAAATGCTTTGCAACAGCCAAATCCTATACGAGGATGTTAATTGGGGTGTCGATCTGCACAATACAGGATAATATACTCATGTACAGAGATGAAATCTTAGTTAACTCTGCTGCATTTATTGTCTTCACTGTAAAAAAAAAATGAATGTGAAATCTACATTAATTTACTGTGTTTGTGCACAGGAAATTACTGTATACTAGTTCACAGTAGAATACCGTAGTTTCAGTCAAAATTGCAGTAATTTAAGAAATACTGTGAGTGTCACAGTAACCAGCAATGTCTTGTAGAAAATCACAGTAACTTCCAATGTATTGTAGAAAACACAATAACTAATTATGTACTGTAGAAAATCACAGTAATTACAATGTATTGTAGAAAACACAATAAGCAATAAGCAACAATGTGCTGTAAAAAAAAAAAAAAATCACAGTAACCTATTATATCCAGCTTAGTTTTCATGAGAGAGCGGGCGTGACTATTTGTAACTTGACAAACTTTTAATAGTTATCATATTATTTTAACTTCAGTATCATTATAATAAATTCACGATTTCACCATACTGCCATACACTAGGGTTTTCTGAAACCCAGCCACTGGGATAGAGAAGGAAAACACAGTACACTGGCAGCTGGGTTTCCAGCCAATGACTGCATTTAATTTGACCTCACTGTAATTCAATTACATTTTAGGTTTGAATAGAGAATACAGGAAGCAAATGTATTCTTTAATAAAAAAATTAATAAAAAAAAAAGTAAAAAAAAAAAGAAGAAGAAGAAATTACCAGAAGGTCATCAAGATTTTACTGTTTTCAACACATCTAGCAATAAGTGAAGAATGATTAATGAAGCTTGTTATAATGATGAGCAGTTAACTGTGACTGTTGATAAATGAATATTTATATTTACATCATGCAACATGCATTATTTATTTCATTTTTTTTTTTTTTTTTTTTTGGGCTGAATCAATATAACTAAACAGCAATGGAACCTGTCGTTACCGATAGTCTAGTGTTAGCGCACTGACATATAGTGCAACTGTGTCTCTGGCAACCCGTGTTTGATTCCTTGCTTAAGGTCTTTTGCCGTTCACATTCCCCACCAATCGCTACACTGTCCTGTGCAATAAGCACAAAAAGGCAGAATAAATAAATAAATAAAATGTTGCACTTGCAAATTAGTGAGTTTTACTTTACAGTTACATGGTTGCTACTGTAAATGAAAACAGCGAAAATATGGTTATTTCTTCTACAGTAAGTTACTTGTCACTTGATGCCGGTAAATTACTGTGAATCACAGTCAGTTTCTTGCAGTGTTTTTAAGTAATATAGTAGCCTACTTTAAGTTAATATTTTTAGTTTGGCGTGATTGTAATGTGACAATACTACAGGGGTTGGACAAAACACTTATTATAGGGGTTAATATCAATTGTGTATAGGCTACAATAAAAGAAAAACATTGTGACTCATATATTTATCTTTACATTGTCTATATATACTGTTGTAGCCTATATAAGTTGTGTTCAGCAGTGTACAAGTGCTTGGTGAAATGGGTGACTTGCATTGAAGTCAGTGAATTGGTGCTTGCATGGTGAAATGGTTAGACCTCCAAAAAGGGCAAATCCTATTTAGCAGGAGTGTCTGTAACCTTAAAGGCAGAGTAAGTGATTTCTGGTAGCCAATGTTGATATTTGAAATCACCAAAACAAACACGCCCCTACCCCAAAAGGGTCTTGCCCCTATTTTGATAGCTCCGCCCCACACATACGTACGCAACCCAGGCAACGATTAGTTCTGTGAAACAACCAATTGTTTGGTGTTTAAGAGCAACAGTCTTTATGATTATGACTGTGGAAAAGGCGAGGCAAGAGTTCAATGAAGAAAAACAGTGGACAAAAAACGAATGCGGGGATGACAGTGATCCTCAAGCACTAGAAGGATCGTGTCCAAACAACAGAATTACTGCAGCAATGTATATGAAATGTTTTGCATGTTTTGTTTCCATTTGTAATAATACACAGGCTATATGGCTATTGTAGCCTATATGTTGTATATTGTTACTGATCTATTGAATCAATAATTTATAATATCAAACAAGACATCACAAATCAAAGGCAACAGCCTACAATGAGACACAAAAAAGGAGAAAACACCCCACCCAGAGGCGAACATTAGTACTGCAAATGACACGGTATTGAAGCCGATTTAAATAAACACCTGCATGGTTGTAAATAAAAGACAAATGCGTATATTATTTTGTACGGTAAGGAAACAGCTCTACACAAAACACAACATAATGAACTATTCTTCCATAATACACCAGGATTTTCACTGTATTTACAGTAGGAAGGCATATGACGCTGGTTTGATAGCACTTTATAAAGTCATAATTAAAGAAACAGAAAAGAAACAAAGTTTTCTGTTATGGTTAGGGGTAGAAAATTTAATGACAGTTCAAGCTTCCCTCCAATGATTGACTCATCCGAAGTTGTCTGAAATGTTGACTGTAATAAAAGTAGAAAGATAAACAATGAATAAGTTTAAATCTCGTGTTTATTTAATTTCACAAATACTAAGTTAAAAGTCAAAAGAATAAGCGATTAAATCAAATATTAAAGAAAATACACTAACAGGCTGGATAAACAGACCTCACAAATTCGCATGACAAAACAGAAACTGCATTAAAGGGATAGTTCACCCAAAAATTAAAATTCTGTCGTCATTTACTCACCCTCATGTCGTTCCAAACCTGTAAACAAGATAGAATCCAGTTGGCAGGAGGCAATTATATTTTAAAGGACAAAAAAGGTCTTGTATTTAAATAATAATTTATACCCTGTGTAGTACATTTGATTGTAATGATTACACTTGATAGATAAGTGTAAACGTTTTTATCTTAAATTTTGAAATCATAGGATGCTCAGTATGGCACTGTGATTCTGGTCAGAAACTCGTTACACGATGTGCAAAACAAATACCTTTTTCACGAGTAGCCTATATTTGTTAATTTCTAACCTACTTGGTACATCCAACTTACTGTGACAGAAATATTTATTTTGTTGTTTATTATCCTCACTCCTGTTTACACTGCTTAGTCTTGAGCTCTTTGTTACCTGTCAAGTTAACATAATGCTGATCATTGAAGAGAATATTACATATTTGCAAACATAAATTAGATGTTTTTATAGAAATATTGGTGTGACTCTGATATACAGATAAAAAAGAATGTGTGGAAAGATGATAAAATGACACATTTTCCAGCACGTCTCTTTTCCGATGTTGTATTGCATTTCTTGAGGTCTTAAAAAGAAAAGAGAGAAAAAAAAGGCTTATTTTTTGGTCACAATCAAGCAGACAATCAATGACAGCCAATCAGAAAATGTTATTAAAGGAATAGTTCACCCAAAAATAAAAATTCTGCCATCATGTACTCACTCTCAAGTTGTTCCAAACCTGTATGAGTTTCTTTCTTCTGTTGAACACAAAAGAAGATATTTTAAAGAATGGTAATAACCTAACAATTGGTGGCAGTCATTGACGTCTACTGTATGTAAAAAAAATTTTTTTTTAAATCTTCAAAAATTTTTGTTAAACTGAAAAAAATAATTTATACAGGTTTAGGACAATCATGAGGGTGAGTAAATGATGACAAAATGTTCATTTTTGGTGAACTATCAATTTAACGTTTATAGCAATCAAATAATTAGTATATATAGAGTTGTGAGTGAATATGGAAATACATAATACCTCTTTTAAATTGTTAAGCCCCCCTTTAAGTCGTTAAGTTTTTCTGGTTTCTCTATTAAAATGAAAAGAAACACACACAAACACACACACACAGTCACAACCTTAATCACATCCAATTTTGGATTTAAT